TCCGCTGGGATAGAGTTAATTTTCTTCCTAGTAGCTGGTATAGTGCTGTGTTTTGGATTTAGGATAAGAATAATATTGATAACACACTGATGTTTTAGTTGTTGCTGAGCAGTGCGTACCCAGAACCAAGGGCTTTTCTGCTTCTCCCTCCACCCCACCAGCGAGGAGGCTGGGGGGGCACAAGGACTTGGGGGGGACACAGCCAGGACAGCTGACCTCGACTGACCCAAGGGATATTCCAGACCATAGGATGTCATGCCCAGTATATAAACTGGGGGGAAAGCTGGCTGGGGGCTGCTGCTTGGGAACCGGCTGGGCATCAGGTGGTGAGCAATTGCATTGTGCATCACTTGTTTTGTATATTCTAACTTTTTTATCATTATTATTATTTTCCCTTCCTTTCCTGTCCTATTACACTGTTTTTATCGCAACCCATGAATTTTACTTTTTTTCCCCCAATTCTCTCCCCCATCCCACTGGCAGGGGGGGAGTGAGCAAGCAGCTGTGTGGTGTTTGGCTGCCTGATGGGTTAAACCGTGACAATCGCAGCCTCACGGGTGTCACCAGGAGAGCACGGACACAGAGGAACAAGGTCAGAGCAGCAGCTGCAGCTGCATTTTGCCAGGGAGCGGAAGCAAAGGTCATTCTCTTTTGTGAACGATAAAAATTCAAGCAGCCCTTGTATACCGATAGACACATTTGATTACAGGCATCTGAACTACATTTCAAGGGCTTATTCGCGGCTGACCTACGAACAACCGTCTGGCATGCCGATGGCTTCTTCTCCCCACGCTGATGGCTTCTTCTCCCCATGCCTTCTCACTGGGGACTTCTCCAGAGTGGTTGGGATCCGCCGGCAGTGACAACGTAGGTGCCACATCGACTCTAAAGACGTGGTCAGAGCCAAGGGTCCTGGTAACGTCTTTAGCAGAAGGAAAAGATTCCTGGTCCCCGCGGGATAGATGGGGTAGCAACTGCTAACTTGAATGGCAGCAGCAGGGAAACCTTTGATCTAACTCTTAGGTGTACAGACACCTCTGGTTCACTATGCTGCAAACCATTTAAGGGATGAAGGACACTTTCAGATCCAGTAATGACGAGTAGCACCACTCAAACCCCTTTATCTCAGAGGTCAAAATGACACTGTGCTGTATGAAATGTTCACATTTCATCACTGGTGTCTCCCTTCCCCTTGCAACCACCTCAATTAACTTTCAAGAATAGGGCAATTTTATCACTGCTGTATGTCTGAGAAAGTTTTTTTTTGTTCAATGAAAAATGAACATCTAGGAGTTGAGTGATATTTTATTTAAGGATAAGTCTGAAGCAGAAACCTAGCCCTTTTTGACTACCTCTGATGAAATCTCTGCATAAACGTGCAAGTGTAATTTTTGGTGAGGATAGAGGGGGAGCAGGAAAGAAGGCACAAGGGAAAAGACCTGAACTGGAATCCAAATTTGAAGCTGAATTTTATCCTTCTAATGCCATAAATCTAATTCTGGGTCTGAAACTTCCAAAATTTGGAGGTATTTGAAACTCACGCTCAGTCCCAGACTTCGCAGTATACGCCTAGGTATTATACACGGCAATAAAATACTGTTTTTTCTTTAGTACAGTAGTGGACGACTAACGACTGACTGCAGTTCTGCTGGCCTAGATACTGAACATGCATATAAGGGAAAAACCTATTAATATTTGCAGGAAATTTAGCAAATGCTACAAATCCTTTCGTGACACCTCAGCAGTTAGAACCAGCCTATTTTACTCTTTCTCCCGTCGGTGGAGAAACTCCTTGCTAGAGCTCGTAGAACTTGGCAATTTATTTTTTTCAATGGAAACATGCTCTGGCTCTGCTTCGTGATGCTCTGCAGAGAGCTTCCCTACCCCGCTCTACCTTGAATTGAGATTCTCAAAGCAAAACTCATTTGAAACGAATTTTCCACCTGCCATTGTACTACTCCCAAAGCAGCAAATCCTGCTGTTGTCACCTGCAGGTTATAGATCTTTTGAAAAATGTGGTTTAAACACCAAGAGTCTCACCAGAACCAGTGAGTGTTACATGGGTTAAGATTTTGCTGTGAATCCTCTATGTGATTTTGGCTTCAGAGGAGAAAGATCTTCCCCCTCTGCCTTCCCTGGTTAGGGTTTCTACTGACTAAGTCACCGAGACAGAGAAGAAAGGGGATGCCCAGTGCTCTTTGAGGCCCATAGAAAGCCTTGAAGAATATATCAAAAGTGAAAAATAAAAGCAAAACCAAACCCCAAATCAAAAGCACAACACCCAGGAAAATCTTGAAAGTCTTTTGTCCTTTTCTCAAATGGTCTGGTCTTTCCTACAAACTTGAGCACATCAGACTTTGAATGCATTCACTTTCACAAAAGGACCACACAGGACCTGCTCCAGAATTAAAACTTAACATATGAAGAGTGATCGTATGAAGAGTGATGTATTGATTGTTAATTGTGGCTGATTGCTTCCTGAACCCTGAGTGTCACACTCTCATGGATAAATAAATATCAAGGAGACAAGGGAGCAACAGGGGCAGTGAACCGACTGTCCGGGGGAAGCAGAAGCCAGTTGGCTTCAGATGAAGCTTAGATCCAACCTGGAGGGCAAAGAGCTCCATAACTGCCTGAGAAAATCTATTATTCTGCATGTGTGAAAAAACCACTAAAAAGCCTATTATGTCTTTCTGTGATCAAAGGAGCCCACGACTTCTGATCAAGTTCCTTAAAGAAACTGGAGTAAATGTTGAATTATTTTGTACAATGGCAAATGCAAAGACCAGAGATGGGGCAGTGAGTCCCAGGTTGGGTTAGACCCACTTCAGAAATCTCTCCCATTCAGTAATGATCACCCAGTTCCCTGGAGAAGTGAAGCAGGGAGGGAATTTATCCCGGTTACCAGGAGGTGCAGGGGGGAAGGAAGAGCAGGTGAGCTAGTATTTCTCCATCAGCTCTGCCACTGCTCCCGTACAAGAAATAACCACTTGCTCTCTGCTTCTCATCTTTAGAAAGACAAAACTGATAGTTAGCTCCTGCGCAAAGCGTTTACAGATTCCTGTATGAGCAATATCACAGAAGTACAAATCACTTTTATCCTACATTGATGTTATTTTATGCTTTCTGGGGGTGAACTGTTATGTTTATTTTATAGTTTGAATAGACCTCGGTAACTGGAGTCCCTAGGGTACCATGAGAAATTGTTCGGGTAATTGTAAATTCAGGTGAGCAGGGCAGGGTTTGGATGCACAAGACACCTTGTTTATGTAAAAGGGGAACCTGGATAATAAGCATTCAGGAGTCATCTGAAGAACAAAAGAATAAAACATACTCTCTAGATCACAGAAATCTGCCCCAAAAGAAAGAGGGAAGCAATGCAGCCATGAAAGCTAAAAAGAAATGTTGTTGAATTTATATTATGGGAAGAAATCTGCATCACAGGTACCACAAAGCAGCTGATGCTGCTGTGCAGAAAGCTCAGGTGTCTCTTCTGAGCTCCACAGTTCTTGATGATGGTACCCAGCAGCTCCAATGGAGCAGGAGAAAATCTATTTGCCATGTAACTCTTATATAAAGAGGACTGGTATAGCGTTTGATGTTGTGAAAACTACTGGTCTGGTGTATCACCCATCCAGCAAGATTGGGAGTGGGGAACAGGTTATCTCCTCACCCTTCCCTTCAAACTCCATGTCAAATTGTGCAGCAATATGAGTCAGAACCCCACAGCTATTCAACCCTTCCCGCAAAGACCTCTCCAGAAAACGGCCAGCTGCGCCGTGCCAGCGTCCAGCAGCGCTTGGTCAGCATTTCGTTATTTGGGTGCCAGTTGCTGTCAGCACATGCTCAAGCTCTGTTCTGCCTGCCAAAAAACTGGGCTAATTTATTTAGCATTTCAACAGATCAGGGGAAAAAATCATTTAAAAAAGGAAAGATTGAATTTGGGAACTTAATTCCTTGGAGAGTTAGTAATGGATCTTTCTCTCTCCCCCTCCTCCAGGTCTCAGCATTCATAACTTCCCCATGTCAATGTTATTATGAAGAAACTAATTCAATAATGAGATCATTCCCCATATGAGAGCCCAAGTAAATGAGGCACTCAGTCTTACCTACTCTCCCTCATCAGCGGGAGTTGTGCTTCTCTCGTAATTCAGTCTCCAAGAGCAATGGCCAAATGACGACACCACCTATTTCCAGTGTTTGCGGTGGGTCATATCCAAGTGTCATGAAAAACTCTGTCATTTGATCTACGTGCTTTAATTTGCAAGTTCCAGGCTCTTCCTTTGGCTATTTCTTGGGCTCAGCTGCCCGTTGCTGAACCAGCTGCTGCCACAGAGGATCAGCCAGTACGGCTAATTGTAGCCAGCCCCCTAGGTCCATGTGCAAAGCGCGCACCGTTTAGTGTTTGCTTTTACCCATTTGCTTATTCCTCAAACAGTTCCCCTTCTGTGAATAAAGCAGCAAGGTGGGTGAGAAACTTGCAGGGGATCTATCATGTCCAGTTTTGTTTTTATTTTGCTATTACTACTATTTTAAGGGCAACAGCACTTGAAGGGAGACAGCACCTGGCATCCCTGAGGTTCACCCACACTGTTCCTGTGAGTTGCTAAAAATTTAAGCCTTCGACAAACCAAAATACTACTTATCTGGGCATGAATCCAGGCCTCAGATTCATCCAGTTTAAGTTCCACCCAAGACCTATACCTAGAAGTTTTTCCTTGCCTGGGTTTTGGTCTTAGGAGAACCAGACCAAGAGGAAGCCCCAAGCGCAGCACTTTGGTGGGACCATCGCTTTGAGCTCATGCTGAGCTCAAGTGATCCGTGTTGCTCTGAATGTTGCTCAACAACAGGGAAAGTGAATATTACGAGTAATGCTTTTATGCGTTTAACTTGATATTGATCCAGTTGCACGCACGAGCGGTGAAGCTTCTGGAAGGAGCTACCTCTGTACATGTGGACAACAAAATAGCAACAAACACAACGTGGGGCTCTCCGCTCACCTTGCAAAGTCCAGGTCAGCCTCGCGTGACATGGTGATGTTCGTCAGGTTTTGCTGGAGGATGAAGATGTTCCTGCACATTTTCTTGATGCCAGATTCACTGATGCGCTTGAAGTAGTGGGCACCGTTGATAAGAATGCAGGAAATAAGGTGGCCCAAACCTGCAAGGGTGGGGGGGAAACAAACAATAAAATCACAGGAGGAAGATATTTAGTGACAGTAATTCATCTTAAAATCCATGAATGAGCACTGTTAAGCGGTACATGTGAACTGGAACAGGAGATACACTGAACTGTACCTGGAAACAGCTCTCAGTATCTTCCCTGCGCATTTTAGGAGGACTTTCCTCAAGATTTCCTTCCTCGGTAAAAATACAAAACTGCCCCTAAACACTATGAAAACTCAAAGCTGCATTATCATAGCCATTGATATTTCCAGGGCACTTCCAGATTTCTAGTCAGGCTTTGCATAATGTCCTTTTCAGTCCCTCTCTCTGCCTGGGCAGAGCAATGGACCACTACTGGTCCTACAAAATGATAGTATTTTAATCTGTTATCAAGGGTAGTATTTTTCCCTGGTAAACTCACTGTCTGCAAAAGCAGAAATGAGCTGCATTTCAATGCACTTGATGTGCAACCTCTCTGATCAGTCTCGAATAGTTTCTTGTGTCTGAATGATGTCTCCATCTTTCCCCTGCTGCTGAAGGACGCAGCTGGCTGCTATAAGTCACAGCTACTCCCAAAATGAGGTATCCACTCGTGTCGCATTACAAATATCAAAAACCCCAGCCTGATTCACTCAGTACACGGGTCTGTACAAGACTAGATGTCAATTAAAAGTCTGAATTAAGAAAATATGTTCATGTACAGGCAACCAGCATGGGGTATATGTAAATCCCAAAACAAGGCTTAAGAGGTGCCTACATTTCACGAAGAGCGTGTGTATAAATTTCAACCTCATGGCTTAGCGAGATGTGAATGGTCCCCATGGCTTTGTGTGGAGCCATTTTACTCCCCTCGAAGAGACATGGTAGATCCTGAGCTGTAAGAGGAGCTCCACAATGTGCTGGTGATCACTCAGTTTGCCACAGATTCACACAGCTCAGAAAACATCTGATTAAAAAATGCTCCATCAGTAGCTACATGGGTACAGGAGGGAAGTACACAGATACTGAAAGCCTTCTGTAGGATCAGTAAGCTGTGCCCAAAATCAGACAAAGCCTTCATCCCTGGTGACATATATTGGGCAATGGGTACATCTCCAGTCCCCACCTTCTCTTGACTTTGAACAACCACCACATAAAAGGACACATATCCTGGCGTGCAGGCAAGAGAACTGTGCGTCAGTGCCACAAATAAATACAGGGGAGATGAACCAAGACATGATTTATATTCTCCAAGGTAATCACGACAGATGAGACATCAGAAGAGCTAATGTTCTCTAAATTTAATTTTAGAAATGGAATGGCTACACTTCGGATAGGAACTGAGCCATAATAAAGCTGGGCTTGTAATATATACACATGCCCTACGGCTTGCCGAGGAAGAACTGTCTTGCACGTACATCAACTTACCGCCTTCCTACTCAGCATGGGCCTGTTTCTCCTCTTGAGCCAAATACGCTCAGAAATGGTACGGAGGCAACAGGGTTTTTGAGTGCCCTGTGTTTGCATCTGCCGTAGGTGGCAACAGTACCACAGTCTGCCTTACCCCCAAAAGGAATACTGTTGAGCTTTGGGATGAGAATGAAAAATCATTTCGTGAGAACCAAACTCTGATGGTAAAAGCCTGACCTTCGAAAATGTACTGGAACTTGTGCTGCTGGAGGCTGGCGCTCATGGCTTCCTCAATAGCACTGATGTCCTTGTTGAGCCGGACAACGAGAGGGTCATAGTCCATGCTCTCCACGTTGGCGACGATGGCGTAGTTCCCTTGTTTAGCCAGCGGGATCAGGTAGTGGAAGCAATGAACTCTGTGGGACAGAAGAGGGAGATGTTACAATGCCACAACCCCAGCGTTAAAATACCAGTGGGTATGCAAAGTGTCGCCTTCTTATTTTCCTTCCAGTGTTTAAGGAAGTAAAAAAATAACAGTAATTTTAAGAAATGGGTAGTTATGTCTGCATTAAACACATCCTCCTCTTGACATGTCGTTGTCCCATCTGGAGAGGTGAATACAAAGGACCCTTCAGTAACAGATCTGACCTACATAATCCCAGGAAAATGCCAAGTGTCTTTTCACAAGGTTCTCCAACTTCACACGTGCTGGTTCAGCAGCACTTCCAGACTGATGCTCAAATAAGAACTCCTTCCATGTACCATAAAGACCTAATAACAGTTGTAACTGGCAGAAGTGAGCCAGGGGACGTGAAACGATAATTAGCAGGCCACGGTTGTGCCTATTCCCAAGTATTTAAGACTATTGCAACTTTTTTCTTTTCTGTTCACCTCCCTGGTAGGGCTGTAGGCAACGTGCCCAACCATCATCCCTCCATTGAAGGAGAAATTCTGTTGCATTCAAATCACCTATTACAGTTCTGCAAAAACCTGTAATTAAGTAATTGCTCTCAAACCTATAGGGGAAAGCGCAATGTCCAGCACAGTCCATAGCAAAACTCCTACTTTTGTAATTCTTGGGTTTCACCCACATCACTCAATGGGAACAGGAGGTTGGTTGGGTTCTTCTGAATTTCATCTGTCAGGGAAACGCAACCAAATCACAGCCTGGGTGAAATATCCCTTGCATTTGAAGCATAAGTCAGGATCAGCACACTGAGACAGAAAGTTCACACCAGACTGGCCCAAACAAACAGCAGGGAGTTGTGTTGGGGTGGGAGAAGCTGTGATGGGTATGTCTTGGCTTTCATGTCCCCTGTCCTCCCGGAAAACGTCCTTGAGGTGGCCATCATAGGCAAGTTCAATTTAGGGCAGTTCCAAGAATAAAACCAACTGTTTATTCTCTTTAGTGCCTGCTTCTATATAATTCTATATAGGGCTTTTTATAGGAAAATACTGTAACAGACATTAAGTAATCTAAAACTCCACAGTTATTTGTAACAAAAGAAATGGTTAATAATGTGAATGTGCCAACAGATATCCTTTAAGGAAGCAGATCTAAATCCAAGGAGCAGGATCTCAGTGACCACTGTCCTCAGGTCATGCCCACACGGTACTGGAGGAGGAGAAGCCAACGCCGGGCTGGTGCCAAACTGCATCTGGCAAAGCTGTGAATGAACAGGGGGGGATAATTGCATCGTCTCAAATCCGCTTTGCTGTTTGCCAGTGTTTTCTGAGACTGCACCTGCAACAGCAAGAGGCCAGATAAATTCCCAGGCTCTTTACAAATGTGCTCTGAGCGCCTGCTTAAAGCACAGGGTTTCTGTGAATGAATACACATTGTACTGTGCACCTTGGAAATGGCAAGGATCCGGGGAGCTGGCATAGGAATCTCAGGGAAACCTGCTAGTAACAGCCATCAGAGGGACTGGGATCTTCCTCTGTTGCTGCAGGTGGTTGCAAATGCAGTGATGAATATGGGGATGCTCCCACCCCGCTGGGGATTTTCCCGGTTGTTAGCATCTCTTTTTCTCAATCCTTTCTACCTGTTGCACAGAGTAACATGTTTTGGTGTATTTACAGCATTACATCGGGGCTCCTGTTAGAAGCACTAGAGGAGGTGGGCAGTGGTCTGCTCTAAAATGACAGCAAAATTTTTCCTGAATTACATTTGCACTTATTTCTGCTTAACCCAAGTGTGATGGAAAGCCACAGAGGACTGAGGCCAGAAACCCATTCAGGCTGGTGCCCATCCATGAGTCTGGGTTAGCTCAGGCATCACATTGCAATTACATCGCAGCTGGAAAGCTGCTCCATTTCCATACCTTAACAATCTTTTCCTCGAATCCTTCAAACCCCAGCTCATCTGTGATGCCTGCAATCAAGTGGCCAGCAGATGATGGATAGCAGGTTGAAGGACTGCTGACAATAACTAATGTGTGGTTTTTTTTAAAGCTACACACTGACTTCACCAGAGCTCTGCCTATGTACACAAGGACACGATATGGCTCAGGATATGTCACGGCAGAACAAACTGATGGTCCATCAAGTCTCATTGCCCGTCTCTGACATCCGCTTCTATTTGATGCTTCAGAGAAATGGGAAGCAATGAAAATACACCTGGCTGATACAATGCATAAGGGAAAAATGTCTTCCCGGCCCCAGAGTGGACAGCTGGCAGCATGAAGAAAGGGATCTGCTGCCTTTGATCTTTGCATGTGAAGTCAGAGACATCATAAAATTATCCATCCCTTTAAAAAATATCCAGCTGGTTACCCAGTTTCTGTTACTATTTGAAAAAGTAGTAAGAAAAGCTCCTATTTGCAATCCAAAGTGCGGTGGCTAATAAATGTGCAGACACCTGTTAGACTATTAAAACATCATTGTGCAATTGTCTAAGGACAAAGCCCCCCCCCATTTTTCCTAGTCTCTGACACATAAGACAAAGACGACCCTAGGAGATTCCACTTTCGGAATTCTGCCTCCATCCCACATTTGGCCATCCATGGCGACAGGATCTGGCATTTCTGGACTGACCTTTGAAGCTACAGCAGGTAAGTATATCTGTCTCAGATGCCATAATATGTACTCTGGACACAGTCTTAACCTATAGCCTCGTGAGCTCACCCGCGATACCTGAATTCGGAGCTTTTACCTGACTTCCAAATGCAGAACCAGCAGGCAGCGGTCAGCCATCTCTTGAAAAGACCTGGCCAGCTCACTCAGGGTTTGCAGGATCTGTTCGGATGCAGGAAGGTGTTCCATACTGGCATGGCTGTCCTGGCCAGGAGACACAGCTAGCAAGAGAAGATAGTATTAATTTGTGACATACTTCATTAATACTGCCCAGCTTCAGCAACCACAGCATCTTGTCTGCTTCCATTCTAAACATGTGTGTTCTCTCTTACCTTTGGCTGAGCAAGAACGTCTATAATTTGGGAGTGTATGAAGCAACATACTGCTTCTGCAATTGATTAAACTCCAAAGTGAATCTGAGGGGTTTAATCAAGCACCAGAATACATTTGCTTGGGAAGATATTGCTCTGTGATGAGTATTTCTGTAGCTGCAGAATCCAGGAACATTTATCTTGCTCTGCTCGGAGTGAGAAAAGAGCTGCTCGGGAGCCAAAGCACGGCACCGACAGGAAAGATGGTCCTTTTTGGTCACCATGGACTTCCCTATGTAATCTCAAATGAGTCTTTGCCTGCCCCCAGCCCTTCAGAGGGAACTGGGAGGCTTTCTTCATTCTTGTTAATAAAACACAACTCTTAGGCAGTAAAGCAATTAAAAAGCAGGCAACACGTATGAACTGGTCATAGACCAACTGTTTCCCTCCCACTGAGACCTCTCTGAAAAGCCACCTTGAGTTTATCCCAACCACGAGAGCATCATTTCTCTTGGAGAGGTGTCAACGCAGCTATAATCCTGCAGCCTTCATCCCTTTTATTTTATCACAGTGCCTGAACCCTGAACCTTCTCCCCTGCAACACAAATCGCTGCCACTCGAGCTAAAGGAGTAGCTTCACTAACAAGAGTAACACGCTGTTATCATATATTCCGCCCTAATTAGAGGAAGCGTATCCCAAATATCCGAGTTCAAGTCCTCATTCAAGCGGCACTTTACAAATGACTTCCTGCATAGGGTGATTAGCGATGTTTAAAATCAGGCAGCCCTGCTTAGACAACTTCCACTTGAATTAAATAATAGGATTGCAAGGGATCTCCTGGATCATCAAGTCCAGTCCCCACAAGCCCTGTGTCCCATGGCCTTGAGTATAAACTTGTGTGCCACATTCAAGTTGTTCCAGATTTCTGCCCTTGCTCGTTCCTTCAAAACATCACTTCTCTAACAGTGAAGTTAAAGTCAGGGATCTAATTTCCAGCCTAAACTTATTCACTCATGTTTTACATTTGGTTCTTCATACACCAATGTTATTCTTTGTCTCACGGAGTTCTCCATCCCTGGCAGCCCTCTTTGTAGAATCATAGAATCACTGAGGTTGGAAAAGACCCTTAAGATCATTGAGTCCACCTGTAAACCTAACACTGACAAGTCCACCACTAACCCACGTTCCTATGTGCCATGTCTACACGTCTTTTAAATACCTCCAGGGACAGTGACTCAACCCCTTCCCTGGGCAGCCTGTTCCAGTGCTTGACAAAAGCAACGTTCTGCACCCCTTCTGGTTTCAATTAATTTGTCTTGAACACAGGTAACCAGAGCTGTCTGCTGTATTTGAGCTGTAAGTGGTGCCACAAAGGGACTAGAGCTTTCCCGTCTCCCCTGGGAATACTCTTTTGCTCTGCCGTGTCTGCTTTTTTTCATGGTTGCTTCACATTTTCAGCTCATAGCTGTTCCATGATCAACCTCAATAATGGAGGTATGCTATCTGCTGGCTTTAAGAAACGTCTCTTTTCTTGCACTAACATTCGTTACACAATAAACACTTTGCCAGACACCAACGCAACTCTGCACAGAAAGGATTTGTACATCACCAAGGAACTGTTGACAATAAACTTTCATTTTGATGGAGACTGATTAAGTAAATGTCACTTGCTGCTGTTTGTACAACCAAAGACCTGCTTTGAAAGAGGAACCTACACTGAGCTTTGGATTTGCTCCTAAAATTAAATACACCTTCAGATCTAGTCTGAAAAGAAAAAAAAACCAAACAACCCCAAAATGAGAAGATTAAAAGCCCCAATCTATTTTGTGCAAAACAAATTGAAACAGAGGTAAACATACAAGACAGAACTGTACAATTAAAGGAGCGTGACAAAGCAAAAGGGAAAGATTGCACACAGCAAAGTGCCTAACTGTGCATCTGAATGTACTGTGAATTACAACAGAGAAAAGCGTGCAGGGATGAAGCCATGTAAAACACGGCTCCTGGAAGTAGCCTCCTTCAGCAACTCCTGCAGTCACAGCAATATTTATGAAGTTTTTTTTAAACCAAGGAACATGGTAGAAAAATTCATAGTCTGGCAAATACTGCTGAAAATAATTAACTGGCCTGGAGTGTAAAAGAGAAATAAAGAGGGAAACAAGAGCAGCATCTACCCAGGATGAATGGGAATAAAAAGGATGCCCCCTCCCTCGCACACCCCGACACTTCTCCAAGCCTCTCTCTCCTCACTGAGGTTTCTCCCACAAAGAAAATGACATTATCACCGAGAGGGTGATGGGCTTATTTACACAGCCTCTAATTTCCAGGTAACGGTGTTAAGAGATGACTCTCGGAAGGCGCTTTGGAAGAGCTGTTTGTCCAGCTGCCACCCACCTCTCAGCTGTGAGACCTCCAAGTGACATTTGTTTCCCTGGCGGGTGGCAGGACTGCTGGGTCATGCAGGATCAGGTCTAGGGGTGCTTATTTGGCCACAATAGGAAGCAGGAAACCTCACCTTTATTATGGGGGCAAACCCCATCTATTTTTACTCAAAAATCCTACATTTTGAGAAGTTTCTATCAGCCTCGCTCCTGGAGATGGACTTGCTGCAAGAATCGTCTCTTTTTAGCAGTGCTGGAGCTGCAGCCTCGGGTTCGATCGTGCCAGCTCGCTCCAGCGATGCCTCCCTGCAAGCGGTGGAGATGGATGGACCCATCATCCGAAACGCAAGAGTCAGCTGATTCCTGCAGTGGAGAGACACGCGCAATTTTTCTACTCTCCAGAATTCATTTACAGTAATTTAAGTGAAGCTGTAATTATATTTGTCAGAGGAGATAAGAGGAGGAGGGAGATGGGGACAATCTGCTCCTTATTTAAAGCCAGAGCACTGAAGTCCTTCTGGGTGTTCCAAGCCCCCCCGGCGGGGCAGAGGGTCAGGTGCTGGTTTGGGGGATGCGTACCAGTTTCTGCCATGCACGATCAGGACACTGAAGTGTACTTTTGCTTTTTGAGATCAAAGGAAGCCTTTCAGAGCCCATCAATTTTCCTTTCTCCTTCCTTGGACATCCAGAAAGCACCATTTCATAGCCAACGAGGAAATCTCGTTTCTTTAAGTCTTGCTCAAGACAGTTTTACTCCATCATCCTTGGCAACACGAACCCACAGAAGGAGCTGTAGCAGCAAAAATAATCAGAGCCTAAACTATTAAGGGGCCTTGAATAAAAAATGTAATTGGGAGCTGGATTTGGAGTTGGCCAGTTCTTTGGGCGAAGGGTGACCACCAAAAGGGTGTCCACCCACAGGTGGACATTCAACCCACCAGAGTGCACTCTGAGCACTGTGCTTAAAGAGGGAGATACCTCCAACTGAAATGCTGGAAAAACAAAAGAGCAGATCAGCAGCCATCCACTTCTTCTCCTTCTCCTCCTTCATAACCCATTTGCACAGAGTTAAATGTGACCCCTCTTGGCCAACAAAATATGTGACCGTTGGGTAAGCAGTGGCCAAAGCCTTGCTCCATTGGCCCTTATCATCTTGCAGCCTTAATGGATGAATTTCATTTGTCTTAAGTGAGCTTCCCGTGCTGCCGGGTAACAGTTAGGGTTTTGTTTGGGATTTCTTCTAGCTTACTGTAAGCAAAGCCAAGATATCTCACTTTGGCGAGAAGGAACGTTTCATTCCAGCAAACCCGAGAAAAATAAACTTAACACACTCGTTGTCACCAATGATTTCAATCATTTTGCAATTCAAAGCGACGCTGGTGCCTCCTGACAGATTGTGCCTTGTAAATCAATGAATGTAAATTACCAGACCTCTGGAATATTAAACAAAACCTGCCGCGCTGCCCATAAACAAACCTCTGTAACCAATCAAGGTCTACAATAGCGCATCCTGCCCGCTCCCTGCTTGAGCAGAGTGACTGCTAACAGATCTGAATGATTTAATAGCGCAAGGAGAAAAATCAATCTGAGGTTACAGGCTCTGCCTCGGCTCCAGTGCAACCTGAACCTGAGAAATAAACCTCCAACATGCTCAGGCTTTACATAGCACTACACACATTTGCTTTACAGGGGAAAGGCTCACAGAGAAATTTTACAACCCTGTTGGGGAAAAAAACCCTAATTTGGAAAAGTGATGCAGTATGAAATGCTTGCTGTGCCCCACAGGTAACATTAGGGACCAATTCACAGCTTTTTAAATTTTAATTTCTTACTCCCTTCCTCTCCAGAAGAGGAAACTCCAAAAGAATTGCAAATACACGCATGCAAAAAGAAATTTGTTATGGGTTATGTGCTGGACTATGCTTTTAGAGACTCAGAGTTAACTTTTCTCTCTGCTGGAGACTTTTCTGGGGATCTTGTGCACTGCTTTCTCTTTCTGTGCTTTAGTTCCCAGCGCGTAAAACCTGGATAACGTGTTTTTATCCATCACTGCCATTCGAGCTGACTCTAAGATCTCCACATCTCTTGTTCCTGCAGCTTTTAGCATCATGAGGTGATGATGCCACTGGGAGACAAAATTGCTACTCTGACACCAACAAGAAAGAAGAATATCTGGTTATTTAAATGAAAAAACATTGGGTGAAGTTGGGAGGAATTAGATATGTGATTATGTGGGGTTTTTTCAAAGTAGATAAGTATGGCAGTACAGTGTGCACATTAGATGCAACATCAAGGATTTATTTCGGCAAGATTTCTGAACGAAGATATATGGCGGGAGACCACTGTCTTCTGAAGCCAAACAGCAGGAGGAAACTAAAATTTTTTTAAATATGTCACCATTTAAAAAAACCACCTCTGTTTCTATTAAGCCATGGTCTGTCTATCTGGGCCAGAGCCGGGTAAAGGAAAGCTGCAGCCGTGGTGATGCTGGTGAGCAAGGGCTTTGTTGGGTGATAAGAACGTCGTTG